TACATACATACTTTCATTAGAAATATGATGAGCAATTAACATCCAATTTCTTGAAGTGGTTTAATTTGAAAAGCAAACACAATATGTATACTCACCCTTATTTGCGACTACTCTTCAAAAGTATGGTAATATTTGCCTCAATAATATTACAACGACAAACATCAGTTGGTTTTTAGACATATTACCTAAACAATTCTTAGTTTACGAGAAGGGAATTATTTTTCATTCTCGGGGCGCAGATACAACAAGAGATAATTGCAAGAGTAAAAACAATGTCCCAATAAACACTACAAATGACGAAGACACTTTGTGCCTACCATAGAGATTCCTAATCTCCATAGCAAGATCTACAAGACATGTCTGCTGGTTGATGCCATGAGGACCCTCTATCGCTAGCAGGGAACACACTTCTTCCTGAACACCTATCATTGCCTAGTACACTCTTCAACTTTTCAAGAGGTTCTTCCATCAATGATATTTCTAGGATAACTATCTTCTTGTATATAATTAAACATGTCAGATATATAAGTTTTTGATGGTTTCACATTTGATTTACTTATCCCTCTCATGATTAGCTAAGACACATGATAATTTATGGCAAAGAAACATGTCTACACTTGAATTGGTTTCTTCATATCCAATGGGTGCGAGAGGAGCAAAAGCAAGATCATGACATGAATAGATAAATGGTTAGACTTAATCTTAGCTACACTTGTTGTTGGTTGCCGTGACCACAAAAAATATTTGCAAGAGTAAGCAGTAGAGAGAGTTGATTTTTGGTCAAGCATAAAGTGCATTGACAATTTTTAATGATAAAATTGTGGAAGACCTATTATTCCAATATGATTTGCAGCTTGATTGTGGGGACCATATCACAAACATATTACATGCTTACGCTAAAATGACTCTTCACACTTTGCTGGTGTTGTAACATTTGACACTACTTTTGGCACAAACGATGATATAGGGCTTTTCTGGTGTTTTGCTTGGGCTCAACCAATTAAGAGAGACTACTGTTTTTTAGTGTTTTGCTTACTATTTATCTTGAGTCAAATGTGCATTGACCAGATGAGTTGCTAAATGATGCACACCATAATAAAAAGGAGGATCAATCAAGAAATTCAAGGCGAGAACTTGGATTGGCAAGCTACAAAATGCGCAACCAACTAAATCTGCCATATGAACCAAAAAGAGTTAAGGTATGTTGCAATCTACACATCTCAATATGCCTTTTTTTGTTTTGTAGACTAATAAGCTGCATTTTCATTGGCGATAGCAAAAGGAAATCGATGGTGTACTACAACGCCAAGTAGACATGGAGGATGATGGGACATGGCAGCAACAAATGAGCAGACGTGGAGCTTGAAGAGTACAATATCATTGATGGTTTTACCTGGCACATGGAAGCTCCTACTTGCCACAATGATACTCTTTATGATGAATATCCATTCTCGTATTAAGAAACTCTATCAAAGTCGTTATATCACCCCGATGGCCAAAGTAACCGCTATTATGATGAATTTAGTCAAAAAACGACACTCTAGCAGAGTGACCATCTTGTTAGGGATCGCCGCAATTTATGGAGCACCCTCCATATATGGCTTCGTCGTCGCCATACATGGTGTCTCAAGGCTGCTTTAGGAGCGCACTCCATATGGCAGCTATATGTGCCGCGAGGAAACTTCAGGTGCCCCCACCTTACATGGGATGGCAGGGGGTTGGGGAAAAGGGATTTTCCATTGACAAGTGTTTCCCATGATTATGGAAGCGGTTGCGCGTTTCCTCTCCATGATTCATTTTTTATGTGCACTCTATAATGATTATGAAGGCTGTCATTTTGACGACTCCACTAAGAAATTGCTTGCACAATATTTTTGGGCTAATTATAGTAGTTTGAGTGCTAGCTATAGTGTTTTGTGGATGTACCAATATGTTCATGTTCAACGATAGTTCAACAGTATCAGTTGTTGTTATAAACTTATAACAATTCAATGCTAGCCCCGCTAAGTCACCCTGGTTGCAGGCATGTACCCTTGGCTTCTATAATGTGTCTATATGCTATATTGTCCTTTGCATAGTGTGTTTAGGGCCAGTTCTTTTGAGGTCCAGCTTATGCATAAGTTGCGATAGGAATAAGCCTCAGAGAAGCTACAGTGGAAATAAGTCCATGAGAATAAGCCATTGAGTTCTTTTTAGGTTCTGTCATTTAGCTTGTTTTCTCATATGTCCGGTGAATAGTCTATGTTACCCTTGGAGTAAAATTCCATTCTATTAAACGATCTGGAGTTATTTTTATAGTGTTTTTCACATGTATGAACATAAAAGTGATTGCTGTGATACCTCAATTATGAACATCATTGTCTTGCATACGAATATCACAAAGTGTTAGACATCAATATCACAAAATCACCAATGGAACAATGTTTCTTTGTTTCACATTCCAATATAAGTAACACAAATGCTCACATACAATACTTACATTTATATATGTCATAAGAATTCACTGTCCAGTAGATAAAAACTCATTGTCTAAGTATTCACAAATACTTAGCAACAGGATACAAACAGTGGATCAATCAATTTGACATCTCAATTTGATGTGCAGAAAGTTAAATCTCAATGTAAATTTGATTTAAGACAAACCAAAGCTTTTAGTCAATAGCCCGAACACTTTGCGGGCGCGAACGTTAGAGCTGGCTCAACGGACGACCAATGCGGGCTTGACGAAGATGCGGAGGGAATGCGATCTCACCGAGGGTCTTTGCAGTGGCAGGACGAGCAGAGAACTAGAGAAGACGGGCACGATGCCTAGAGGCCAAAGGCGTTGCTTCGGCAGGGACCAAAGGCGCCTACGGAGGCAGAGCTTCGAGAGCCGAGGGGGGCCAGCGGTGCTGGAGGGATGGGTGACGGCATGGGAGGGGCTAGCCTTCGTTGGTGCTAGGGAGCGCCGGGGAGCGACGAGGGCGGTCGAAAAGTTGCGGCCCCTGGAAACCCTAGC